CCGTGGGGCAAGTGCATTTTCTGTCTCTATATCCCATGGTAAGTGTATTAGGAAAACAGTGGGGTTAGAGCATATAGAACTTTTTGAGAGCTTTCTAACACTTTTTACAGAACTGAATTATCTCTTTTGAGATACAAACTTTTTTCAAAGGTGAGAAATCTTGTTTTTAAAAATGCTTAAAACGTAATTTTGATTTCACTTACCAAATTGGGCTAATCCATCTCCTGGTAGTGGGAATAAATGGTTTTGGTAAAAATGGATATCCTTAAGTGTCCTTATAACTTTTCAAACATGAAAACTGTTTTTTACGTTAAAAATAAAGTTACAAAAAACACTCACTCACTCACTCTAAAAGTCACTTATTTTTCATATTTACACATGTGTGTTGCACATGGTGTGTGCACTTGCCCCACATCAACAAAAATAGGGGGCAAGTGCACAACGCCCATTAATTAAAAAATATATATATATTAGATGGAAACTAAATCCAAACATGCCTGAAAAGTACACTTAAAACTGTACAAAAAAAACCAATAATAATAATAATAATACAATTTTTTACTTTTTTGTTATGTTTTAAAAAAAACCTATACGATCTTTCCCTCGGAGGAAGAATTACATGATCTTTGAAAAGTTTATTCCCCATATTTAAATCATTCCATGGAAATATACCTACCTTTCAAACAGAACTCAACAGGTGCAGGTCTCAAATCATCTTTCAAAACCAGCTCTGTTAAAGTATGGTGACCCGCAGGGATCCATTCTTAGTCCAATTTTATTTTTGATTTACGTTAACAATCTGTCTTCAGCATGTGGATCTAGCAAATTGGATCAGTATGCTGATGATACGACTCTCTGTTGCAGTGCCAACAATCTTCCAAATCTAGAAATCAAAACTTTTGTAGATCTAAATTCATGTGTTCAATTTTTTGAAAACATCAATTTGAAAATAAATTCTCAAAAAACAAATTTCATCCGTTTTTATAGGCACGTTGAACCAAGTGAGACTGTAACGGTCATGATTGATGACTCACAAATTGAACAAGTCCATTCTTTTAAGTTTCTGGACATCACCATTGACCGGGGGCTCACTTGGAGTAACCACCTTGACAACGACTGTACTAAGGGTATCTTCAGGCTGTTTTGACTTAAGAGTCCTCTCAAAATTTTGTCCAGAAAATGTCTTGCTAATGGCCTACTTTGGCCTTATTTACCCCCATCTTTCTTACGGAATTGCAATCTGGTGTGGATGTGCAGAAGCGGACTTCCACAGGTTGTTCCGTATTCAAAAGAGAGCACTCAGAATAGTGGCTAAACTACAGGTGAGAGAGAGTCTTGTAGGACCGTCTTCAGGGAGCTAGGCCTGGTTACTCTTGCCTCTCTGTATATCTTGGAAGCTGCCACGTTTTCCAAATTTAAATGCAAATTTAAATGGCCTTAGGCCAGGGACACACTTACCGGTGAAACCGCCGGACGCCGGATCGGGCGGCGCCGGAGCAAGTTGAGATACACAGATAGGCATGGGGCAGGCCACACTTCTCCGGTTCGGCAAATCTGCCGATCCGCCGGGAAAATGCTCCGGCGAAACCGCCGGATATTCTCTACCTCGCTGGACCGCGCCGGATCGGCGGTTTCGCCGGAGCAGCGGGTAGCGGGGCACTGTGCCTTACGGAGATGAACACACTTACTGGCGAAACAGCCGGACTGCCTCTGCCCCCACTCCTCAGTCGTGGTTCAACCCTCGAGGGTGATGATTGTTTTTGATTTTAATGTGTCCAAGTGGTGTATTTAGTTTTGTTTTGCTATTTAGTTAATTTAGTTTTTATTTTTAGTCTGTTTAGTTTTCTACATCATCATGGTAGATGTTGATATGGATTTACTTATTAGTTTGGTTCATGAGAAACCAGAACTTTGTGATAGGTCCTTGGAAGTTTACAAAGGCAAAAACAAAACAAGGGACAGCAGCAGCTGGCGACAGATTTGTGCCGCACTGAATCCAGCCTTTCCAGCGTCTTATGTATGTGTTTTGTCCTTGTATTTGCACTGTATTCTTCGATATAGTAGCTCGTCAAATGAGGGGACAGACATTCGAAAATAATTAAAACCCCTAATTTCTTAATTTCTCAACTGTAAAAATAGAGTTTAAAAAGCTCCAAGTAGCTGTCTGTTCTCCAGAATAGGATGTAACCAACAGTTCGGTGGTGTTTTCTCTTCCTTCTGTTATGGATCAAACGCAGCAAGGCCAACTTTTGAGGTTTTGACAGCACCATTTCTAAGACTAAACTGTACTAGATCTGTACTAGTGTAAGACAAAACTCATTCAGAGTTCATTGCACTCTTCATTCATTGTCGCCGGCTCCGGCAAAATAGTTTTTGCCGGAACAAGTGTGTTCTGACCCTCAACATCCGGCGCTCGGTGGTTTCACCGGTAAGTGTGTTCCTGGCCTAACACAAGGCCAGGACATTCACTCGTATTCAACTCCAGGCAGAGAACAATATATAGGTTGGCCCAAAACAGGTCCCGAGCAGCCTCAAGCTTGCCCTCTCAGACGGGGTGAGATTTGTGAATAGTCTTCCTGAACAAATAAGGAAAGAAAGGAACAAAAAACGGTTCAACCGGATTTTAAAAAAGATATCTAATTAATAAAGAATATTACACTGTGGGTGAGTTTTTTGACACAAATGAGTAGATGGTGTTCGGCTGATCTGAGGTTCTAAATCAATCAAATGACAAGTTCTGTGTAATTTTTTAATCATGCGTATTTTTAATTGTTTATGCTGTTGTATTTATTTGTTTTGCTGTCGCTTGTTATGCCTGTATTAAATGTTGACGGATGCCATGCAATTTTATATTTGTTTCACGGCAATAAATATATTATTATTATTATTATCCGAGGCAAACAGTACAATTTTGTCGCAGGACGAAATTGCACCGTCACACTAAGATTTCTTTCAAGTTTGTGTAATATTATTCCATTTAATTCAAATAAAACTGAAGTGATTATTTTCAAATCTGGAGCAATTTTTTTTAATTACTTTACATTGTAGCGATATTGCTTGACAATTATGGGAATTGTTCTTTACTTTGAAAATTGCATTGTGTTCAGCAAATTTCATAAAAGTTTAGGTATAACCTTTTGATTTTGAGACACATACTTCAAATTGGAAATACCATTTTTCATACTTTTGAAAGCTACTGTAGTACTGTAATTTGAAATTGCCAATGAATTTAAGATTTTTAAACTCAAATTAAATTATTGTAGAGAAGTTATGCCAATAATGTTTAATATTGGTTATTTAACGAAAATTACAAAATGATAATACAGCAATCAATAATAAAAATTTTATATGTATATATATATAAATAGTTTAAAATACGAAAACACAAACTCACTTAATAAAAAAAATTAACATCCATAATTTTGCCTGTTTTCTCAAAGATTCTTTAGACCATAATGAAGAAGCAGCTCATGTCGTTTTTTGAGGATAACAGCCTATTCACTGATGCCCAACACGGTTTTAGGAAAGGCCGCTCGACCACCACTGCCCTATTGAGCCTGGCCGATACCATATCTGAAGCCTTTTGAACGGAATGAGTCTTTCCAGCTTAGCCTCTGCGACTTAAGCAAGGCTTTTGACGTTGTGCCTCATGAAATCCTCCTACTAAAGCTGGGCAAATATGGCATTGGCGGCATTGTCCTCAAGAGCCTCTCAAACTATTTGAGTGATTGTAAACAGGTTGTGTCTCTGCGGGGGCCCTTTCCAGCGTGGGCCATCTCTCTCACGGCGTGCCTCAAGGATCAGTTTTAGGCCCTCTCCTATTCACGACCATGATTAACGACTTACATATGAATGGGAGAACGTTATTATTTGCAGACGATACGACATTGCTGACCAAGGGTGCTAATATTAACTATCTAGCAACAGAAGCTGAAGACCTGCTTGAAAAGGCAAAAGATTGTTTTGTGACAAACAGACTCAAAATAAAGAATGACAAAACCCAGTCACTAGTCTGCACCCTAAAACAAAGAGTTGAGGAAGAGGGAGCGGTAAGGCTCCTAGGTTTCATGGTAGATTCTAGGCTGAGTTGGAACCAACACATCTCGCAGGTATGCGTTAAAGCTATCAAGAGTCCTCCATCTCCTTAGAAAACTTAGGCCTGAAATTCCTGAATATTCTCTTCTGTCAGTATATTATGCGTTATTCCACAGCCATGTGGTGACCTTTGGGCTGGTACTGTGGGGGCACTCCTCAGCGGCTGGAGATGTGCTGCTGCTCTTCCAAAAGGCAGCCTTGAGGATCATAACATCTGCTGGCTACTTAGATCACTGCCGACCTATCTTCAAGGACCTAGGAGTCCTTACAGTATACAGCCAATATGTTCTGGATATTCTAACCCTATTGAAGAGCAAATTAAAGGCTCACCTTAGGAGAGATGAGGTACATGTACACCACACCATAGGAAGGCCCAAAACATAGATTTTCCCCGCTGTCGTCTCAGCCATACCTCGAGTAGATATCCACGCTCAGCCATAAGAATTTACAATACGCTGCCCACTCGAGTGCGGGAGATGGATGTGCCCTCTTTAAAGAAGTTAATAGAAGATGTATTGATTAAAAGACCGCTGTACTCCTTAAAGGAACTTGAGGATGAGCCCCTTGTTAGATGAGTTTCTGTCCGCCTCGCCGATAGTAAACGGCCAAGTTAAGTTTAGTGACTCGGTATAATTACTGTAAATAATGTAGGCTACATAGTTTTTATTTTTTATCACTAACAAATATTTAACGCAATCTATCAGACTAGTTCTGTCAAAGATGAAGAATTCAAGTATACAAGTATACATTGCTGTACACAGTAGTTTGATAGATTGTGTTTTTTTTACGGTTTGGGCAGATTTTCCTTTTACTTCAGCCTTTATACTTCTCCGATCAGTTTATATCGTACGAACAACACAAAGTTGAAAAACACCGTTTGGTGGTACACCTGAATCCGTTAGACTGACTGACTTTTCTTTCTTTATCCTTCTTTTATCCATGTTAGTAAGGTTAGTAAAGATCTTAGTTCTTCTTATTCTTCCCGTTCTCAATAGCTGATCGCCACGCCATGGTAAGTAACGTAAACGTGTATCTTTGATTTTAAGTATCCATATTTTCTATGATAATCGAGGTAATAGTTTGTTCAATGGAATTACTTTTTATATCAGCTTGCTTAATATTTTGTTAATATCAGCCAAAATAAGAAGTAACTTTGACATTGCTCCTTACAATTAATAACATAACCTCGGTTGATGACAGCAATCGCATAGGCCTTAGTTTAAATGAGAACTCAATATAATTTAAACATCATTTATATTGTAGGTTCTTGAATACATCTTCATATTGTTTTTTACTGTTAGGTAGCACTCAAGTTGCACTTGGTAGGAAACAATTCTCTGTCATGGTGGCCTAGCCTAAGTTACCTAGCCTATAGGCCTACTAGGGAAGAGCATGGTTCCAACCATCAATGTACCGTACAGATATCATCGGCGCGAAAACATGTGTTTTTCAGTATTCCGTCTTATACAGTGTAGCCTAACCTTGTGTGAGGTTTGGCTTAGGTGACATAGAACAACCAAGGGCGGTCCCGGAGGGGGGTTGTGACTAGGGTTGTTGCGATATCAGCAATCTATGGATATTAGATATATCGATAACGATTCCAGCCTCTAATATCGATATCACGATAATATCGGATCCAAATATCGATATTAATATTGAATAACTTATCTGTATTACTTTGGAGGAATCTGCTTTTTAACCCTCCGAGTGTCCCTTGTTTTGGCCTTAATGTCTGCCTATTTTTTTGCTCATTTGCAAGGTTTTATTAAAACGGATCTGAGAAGCTTGAAAACAATGTTAATTATACTGTTCTATAGGCTATACCATTTTGTTTGGAAAATCATGGGCTTCAATATTATACATAGAACATAAGGAACATTTGTTTACAAAAAATTTTTAGGTAAAAAAAAATATTTTGGAAAATTTTCAAAAAAAAATAAGTTTGCGCTCAATGAAATTGTAAATTATAGGCCTATTTTTATGAGGATTACAAATATATTATAATATAAGGAAGTAGATTTGCAAATAAATAAGTTATGGGCAAAAAACAGATTTCAGTACACAGCGTTTAGCTAAGAATGCATAGTCTAACCATAGCTAGGAATCTGGCTGATAATTTAAGTTACATCAATATCACTACCTACTTCTTCAGGATCATCAACCAGCCCTTAAAAATCACTTAAATCTTCTTATAATGCACCACGTATATCACTACTTTTGATTTTTAACATTAAAACAATGATAAACGTAATAAAACACACCAGTCATCGGTCCGAGGATAACCAAGCTGTTTACAAATACGCACGTCAGCTGTCTGCTACAATATTTTCGGAACTAAAATGAACAGCGCTTAGAGACAGACCTCCGGAGAAAGCTCTGAATCTGTAAAATAAAACGATACCTAACTTGATCCAGTTCAATCCGATTTTGTCAGTCATATAGAGCCTTCGCCGTAAACAGTGTTTGTGAGTCGCGTAATCACATAATATGAGTCATCGCATAACACCACAGCGGGTGTGTTGTGCGTCGCTTTTGCGACATACGAACATCGTTTACGTCGAAGGCTCTGGGACTGACTGAATCAGATTGAACTGGATCGAGATTGGTATCGTTGTTTTCGGCAGATTCTAAGCTTTATCTTGATGTCTGTTTCTAGACGCTTTTCATTTTAGTTCCGAAAATATTTTAGCAGACAGCTGACGTGCGTAGGCCTATTTGTAAACAACTTGGTTAACCTCGCACCGATGACTGATGTGTTTTATTACGTTTATCATTGTTTTAGTGTTAAAAATAAAAAGCAGTATACGTGGTGCATTATAAGAAGATTTAAGTGATTTTGAAGGGCTGGTTGATGATCCTGAATAAGTAGGTAGTGATATTGATGTAAATTAACGGCCAGATTCCTAGCTATGGTTAGGCTATGGATTCTTAGCTAACGCTAAATGTACGAATCTGTTTTTCACCCACTTAACTTATTTATTTGCTAATTTACTTCCTTATTAGGCTATTATATTTTTGTATTCCTTATAAAATTTAGAACAAAGTGGCTATTTTAAAATATTTGTAGACTTGTAAATTATAAAAATTTATTGAGCGCAAACATACATTTTTTTCATATTTATTTTATAATTTTTGACAAATAAAACCCCACAAAAATTATAGAAAATTTTTTTTTATGTTTTATATATTACATTGAAGCCCATAATTTTCCAAACAAAATGATATATAAAACAGTATACTTTACATTGTTTTAAGTTTCTAAGATAAATTTCAATAAAACCCTGCAATTGCGCATTAAATGGGCGGACATTAATACCATTACTATGGACACTTTGAGGGTTAATGACTTCCTTGAACTTGTTTTAAGTTAATAATAAAAATCTTAAGCTATAAACATAGTTGTTTGGAGCTTTAAACACAGTGCATTTCAAAACCAGCCTAATTTTTTGGAGTTAGGCCTACAATGAAAACAATAATTACCGTATTTACAACAATTTAAACAAGGTTAGCACTGGTGGACTTCAGTGTAGGCTATAATCAACGGCTCTTGAGCTCTGACAACTAACAAGTGATAGCTGACAGTGCAACCAACACTCCAACAATAAAAATCAGTTGCTAACTTACTAACTTAGTTCCTTCTACCACAAAAAATATAACCAGCTATCCCCAAAATAAAATGGTATATGGTTAGTGTGGATTTTATCTTGTAGGCTACATAACTTAACTCGATAAGAAGGTATGCACGGCCACCTTTAACTACAGGCCGCGGCCTGGTAGAATTGGCAGCGTCGCAAGTGTGTTGTTTAGTGACAGACGGGACGTAAGATAATATGGAGACAGGTGACATCAGCTCATTAATTCGCACTCTATTGATTTAAATTTAAATTTATGAACATAAATTTATTAAAATATTGAAAATAAAACATACAGAATAGAAAACCGAAACAATGAATTAAAAATCTAGATCTGTACATTTTAAGCGGAGTTAATATTGTCATAGTCCAGTAGGGTTTTACAAATACCATTAGTTGCTTCCAAACAAAACAGCTGTTACAACACCACTTGCGACGTTGCCACTTCGAAGGCTGCGGCCTGGAGTTAAAGGCGGCCGTGAGGTATGTCGATGTCACTAAAACTTTATCTAAACTTAGAAAATTCAATATCGAGAACCGATTGACAAAATTATTCCGATATCACGATGTTATCGAAACCTCAATATCGATACAATATAGAAAATATCGATATGCATTGATATCGATAATATTGCAATATCCCTAGTCGTGACCCCCTACTTTATGGAGGTTAACTGTTGCTTACTGAGCAAGTATAGGCTAAACTTATTGCAGTCGTGTTGGGTACAAGTTTTAAACACCTCTTAGATAAAATAAGTTCTCTAGTTTGAAATCTTGGTCCGGTTTTTTACATTTTCTGTTTAGCATGCACATCGGCACCAGTTAAACGGGTATTTTCGTAAATCAATAAAGCTTTAATGTGTTGTAATGTTGCGGTATTCCTTCGTTATTAAAACCACAAGTCAATAATTCGAAAGCGTGACATTAGGTTTACAAGTATATTTTAAACAATTTCATTGGCTTTTTAATAATTTGGGAAGCTTGAACTCATTTTAAGTAAGCTTGTTATTTCCAAATTTTGGTCGCGATTGGTCATGCTGTACACAGTTTTGGCAGATTTCTAACATCTCTTGTCTGTTTCCTTGAAAACAGTTCCTTAAGAAAAAAGTTTCTTATGCTTTGGGTAACTAAATAGTTATTACCTGCCAATTTGTGATAAAGTACAGTTGTTTATATAAATATTTAAATATTTTTCTGTAATTTCAAACCATAAAGACCCAGAAACTATTAAGATTAATTTTCAAGCCATCCAAGATTAGGATCGTGAAATGTACACAAAGCCTAAGTTCCGGACGCATGTTCGGAATTAGACAGCGGCACTTCCTATCTGTGAATTGTTACGTTTTTGTGGATATGTTTACTGTTATTTAGGCCTACTGTAAATTGCTATAAAATGCATATTAAGTTAGTTATAAATAAAATCATGTAGGCCTATTTTCCAAAATGAATAAAAGTAGAGTATTTTAAAAGAATATTTTAGCCTACTTACTTAGGAATGTTATTCTTAGCAGAAAAAGTTTCTAAGGCCTACTGAAGCAGTTCCAAATTACCGATTGTCACGTTTTTTTTTTCTGTTATATTAAAATATTAACTTAAAGCTGTAAACAGCTATAAAATCGAGAATTATTACAATCATAATAGTTAGCCTATATCCCTCCAAGTGTCCATAGTAATGGTATTAATGTCGGCCCATTTATTGCGCATTCGCAGGGTTTTATTAAAATGTATCTTTGAAAGTTAACCCTCCGAGTGTCCCTTGTTTTGGCCTTAATGTCTGCCTATTTTTTGCTCATTTGCAAGGTTTTATTAAAACGGATCTGAGAAGCTTGAAAACAATGTTAATTATACTGTTTTATATACCATTTTGTTTGGAAAATCATGGGCTTCAATATTATACATAGAACATAAGGAACATTTGGTTAAAAAAAAAATTGTTTAGGTAAAAAAAAAATATTTTGGAAAATTTTCAAAAAAAAATAAGTTTGCGCTCAATGAAATTGTATAAATTATAGGCCTATAAATATTTGAAAATAGCCACTTTGTTCTAAATTTTATGAGGATTCAGAAAATAAAACATTATAAGGAATTAGGTTTGCAAATAAATAAGTTATGTAATGGGTAAAAAACAAATTTTGTACATTTAGCGTTAGCTAAGAATGCACACCAAGAAGGGGGTTAAGGCCTACAGATGATGTCCCGTAATTGCAATTTGTACTCTGAAACCGCCTATGGAACCAGACAAGATTGATATTAATAAAGCAGTTATGTTGCTTTGCTAAATTTGTAGTTTACGCAAAATAACCGGGATCTTCTGCGGAAAGGGTTGTATTATCAATCTCTTTGATTTCGTTACCATGATATTCCCTTTTTAACCTGGTTTTTCTTGGTTTCAGTCGGCTCACAAAACATTCAAGATTAAGCAGAAGCTTGCCAAGAAGCTTAAACAGAACAGACCCATCCCCCAATGGGTTAGGATGAGGACAGGCAACACCATCAGGTATTGTTTTTTATTTTAAGTAAAATCGCTGAATGTCATTTTTGCTAGTCTTATGATAAAAACACTAGCTAGAAGCCTTTTAAGTGTTTCTATGGTGTTGACTGTTAAAAAATTCACACGCAGGCAGATCTCAAGGCCTATAAAAACTTGTGTGAAAACCTGTAAAATAAAAAAAATAGTTGTTTATACATTTGGACCTAGTCTAAATTATTGACAACTAAAACCTTGTTCACATGAGGCGAGTTAACAAGCTAAATGCGTCTCTTAACTAGCTCAAAGTGAACAACGTACCCCCTTAAAGGCTGCTTTTAAGATAGCTGTGGAAAGAGTTGACTGTCGGCAACTAACACGCCTTCTCAGCTTTTCAGCGAGCTAGCGTGTGAAGAACCGGTAGCCCAGTGTGAACACAGTTGCTTGCCTTGTGTACATGTTATTAGAAGATGTCCAAGGATAGGATTTGTTCCAGTGGGAGTTGTAGCAAAAGTTATTAAAATGAGTTGATCAGATGGGGGAACAACATATCTCTCAACGATTTGTTGTAAAATGTATAGTTCTTATCCTTGATGTTCCACGAGGCTTTTGGTAACAACAATATGTTTACCACAGTCCACGTTATTTTAAATGCACATAAACACCAACACAACCAGCAAGATTCCACAGTATTTAAACATTTAACTGTCACCAAGCGGTGTAGAAGCCAGCTGTTGAGTTCGAGTGAAAAATCTTTGTGTGAACGAATATATACAAGTACACTCGCCGGCTTCTTACTTGTATGTAGTAAACTCGCCCTGTGTGAACAAAGCTTTAGTGACGGTTGTGCTATTTGTTGGTTAAGATTTTGTCCACACCACTCCGTTTGTCTTTAAGACGCGCTACATCACGCTGCAATATTAATGTCTTTTTAGAAAAAATCATCAGATTTTGACATAATTTGGTACCAACATTTTGTGAACCAGCATGATTGGACTGTGGGGATGGGGTTCTTGGGGGTCAAAAGGGTTCGATTGATGTTTGAATTAATGTACATGGTGTCTACTCTCCGGGAAATTCGGGAAAACCGGGAAAACTCCGGGAATTTTATCTTACCTTGAAATGTCCTGGAAAACTCCAGGAATCCACCCGAACCTCCGGGAATCCACAGCCCGGTCATCGGAATCGTCGGCTAACCAAACACTATTGCTTTTGTTGCCGAAATCGCGGGAGACGATTATCGGTGTCGCCGAAACGGCAAGATATCCTCACGGGTATTGCCGCGATCGCGGAAGACGATTATCGGTGTTGCCGAAACCGCAGTATATGCTCACGGGTATTCCCGCGATCGCGGGAGACGATTATTGGTGTTGCCGAAACCGCACGATATGCTCACGGGTATTGCCGCGATCGCGGGAGACGATTATCGGTGTTGCCGAAACCGCAGGATATGCTCATGGGTATTCCTGCGATCGTGGGAGACGATTATCGGTGTCGCTGAAATAATAAAATATGCGAACCTGTTTTGCCGCGATCGGTTGCCTGTGTTGACGAGACTGCAAGATATGCTCACTGGTATTCCCACGATCGCAGGAGATAATAGCTGGTGTCGCCTTACCTATTAGTTATACTGTTTTATTATGTTATATAAAATATTGTTCTTTGGAAAAGTTTTGTTTTAAATTAAAATAATCATTAATAGTAATAATAAATTATTATTAGCGGGTTGCGATTAGTTGAACGGGTTCCGATAGTAGTTCTTAAAATTCAGGAATTTGTCTTGAATTCTCCTGGAAAACTCCTTGAATTTTTCAAACCAGGTATAGTAGACACCATGATGTAGTAATGAACACCACACCATTACCGCAACAATACGTAATGCTGCCAGCGGTGTTTGTCGTGTAGTGGTTAGATCATTGGGCTGATAAACTAAAGAGACATGAAAACCCAACATAAAAAAACATCTGTTGTATGATACCTCAAAATTGCAATTCATTTTATGTTAGATATACAGTAAAATGGTTAGTGTTAATAAATTTGTTGTTTAATTCAATGAAAAATAAGTCCAAACACGAAATGATTATGGCAAGTAGCTAGCTAATAAAAACGTGTTAAAATATTCATAGCTTTTACACTTTGTTAAGCAAAATATATATTGTTTGGTATCATTTTACTAAGCATTTTGAGCTGAAGTCAAAAGCGTTACCGGATTTTTTAACAAACGTAAATTAAAAAAATTGATAGTTTAATTTCCGTGAGCCAGCGATGACTCGCGCGGCAGGTCAATGGTCCGTCCCATGACCATCCTAATCCCTTGCGTCTGTGTGTGTGAGTAGGGTCGACCCTTCAGCCAGCCGCTTTCCGTCAACAATTGTACACTATAACTGTACATCAACGATGTAAAGAACTACTGGATTGCGCTCTCAGTGGCGTAGCGGGCGCTGTTTTCGGTCTCGCCCCACTCTCTACTGGCAAGATAGCGGCGGCATACCTTACGTGCATGCTAACTGTCACCCATTCCAACACTTTTAGCGAATTTCCCATATAGGGAATAAGCTATTAGGCTACCGTAGTACTCATGGTAAGACCTGGACGCGGGACCGATTTTTTTTTCATTTTGAGGTCCCCAGAGGCCAAAAACACCATCCGTTCAAATTCATTTTATATATATATGTCCGTTAGCACGCTAACTCGAGCAAAAATGATCCGATTTTGATGAAATTTGGTACAAACGTGTAAACCTACGTTTATTCGAACGAGTTCGCGATCCAGCATGATCGGACCATGGGAACAGGGGTTTACGGGGGGTTTTATGGGGTAAAAAAAGGCTTTTCCCATTTTTGACCCAAAAAACATAAAATTTAGCAATTTCTCTCCAAACCATTTTGTAGAGCTTAAAAAAAAAAAAACAAATAATTTAGTATATTGAAGCGTTATTATGCGCCTAATGGTTACGGAGAAAATTCCAAAAAATTGTAAATTTAAAATTCCCATGTTATTCTTAATTGTTGTAGTTTGCTTGTTTATGAACATATTTTGATCAAGTTTGGAAAATGTTTTTATTTCTTACTAACTATTAACGTTTTACGAAAAAAAAAAAACAGTTTTACCCTCCCTGATGCAGCAAACCTAAGTACTAGTTTAACTAATTCTATTTAAATAGAGAATAAATGTTATATTTTTAAGTAGACATTTCAGTGTAAATCCAATCAGTCAAATGGAAATTCGCTTAGTCTGCAGGTTTGCTGCGGCGGGGGGTATTTTGATGTAACAACAGTGTGCGGTTTTTTAAAACTGTGATTTAAATTTATCAATATCTTTAATTGTACGCTAAGTATGTGTTTAAAATGGTTGTATCTTGTTCCGCTTACAACTGCACCAACAGAGTCCTACAGAAAGGCAGTGGCATTTTGTTTCACGAGTAAAGTACCTAATCTAATAGATTATAAACAAGGTGTCTGAGTAAGTGATTCCTTAACTCATGACAGCGTCTGAAATTTGTTTTTGTTTTTATTTTGTTGATAGGGTTAAACTAAAACTGTACATTGTAAAACATACACAATGAAATAAATGCGTCCGGGCTTATTTTTTCAGAGGTCAGTCAACACTATGGGTTATGATGGTAGGTCGGGTTGATATTCGTTAGGTATAATGTATTATTCACATCTTGTGCAATAAATCCTTAAAAAAGAAAAAGACAATTTGAGTTATTATATACTCAACTGACTGATTATGTAACTAAAGCTCATTAGGACACACTGAGATGTTTTTAAGGTAGTTAAGTAAGTTTACAATGTATTAACTTGTCAGCTTCAACATAAAGGAAACTTTAATACAAAAAGACTATTTTTAGCCGCGTGTTCCCATTCTGTCGGCACTATTTTTAAGGGGCATGTCGAGAATATTTATTTTGGGGAAGACACCAATATATTGCCACCACTCAGCTAAACGAAAAAGTATCACGTTTATGCCTAACATAGGTCTGCAACAGAAACTCACCAAAATGATTTTATTAAAAAATATTTAATGATGTTTTAATTAATAAATCGAGTGTGAAATGAAAAGTTTTGTACTTAATATCCTTTCTTTGCAATTTAATTACTTATTATTTTACCATGTATAGTTTTGAAGTAGTCATGTTAGTTGTGTGAAAAAACATCTAAAATCAAGTTTAGTGAATGGGTAGTTTTAAAGAGTTCAAATGAGTTATTCTATGCAAGAAACAAAACATACATTAAGTTTTTAATTGTAAAAAGAGTTTGACATGCATTAGCAATTTTTCATCTCTACATATTCAAACAGAGCAGCATCTAAAAAGGTGTGTTTTATACGGTAAGTGTATGGGCTGCGCCGCCTTCTGCCAGTAGAGAGTGGGGGAGCCCCGGACCGCGCGGCCAACACTGAGCCAGCGATCCATGGGTTGTTTATATCGTTGCTGTACATATTTTGTTAGAATTTGAGGCATTAATAATTTTATTTTATGAACAGAACTATATTTTAGATTAGTAAACCTTCATTTGATTTTATCTTATATTTTATATTACCAGCAAGGTCGGTTAGTTCTAGGTTATGACAGTTTAATTTTATAATAGAATGCTCTCATTTCGTCCGTAGTAAACCTTCATTCCATTTTTTCATTATCAGCAAGTTTGGTTAGTTAGGTTGGGTTATGACAGTTAAATTTTATAAACGAATGCTCTTGTCCCTACATTCCATCCCCATGTTAAATTTGTAGCCAGCTTTTTTAATAAAATCGTCGTAGTTGATGTGAGCCACCGACAGATTGTGCTGATCTATATTACTGATTTCTGTTGAATACACAATCGTTTTTACCAATTCAAACTAATGGAATTACTTATTGTGAGCTATAGCAACTGTTATGACCTATCAACTTAGCCAGTAAAAAAAAGGTAGAAAATACAGTTTTAGCCACTAGCGCATTCTGTGACTGGCTCACACAACTACGTTCTTTTTTAACAAAAAATTGGCTACATCTGGTCCATATAGATGGGACGTCTAGGCCTACTTCTGTATCCAATAGTCAATGGTAGTAAGCCTTAATTAGATTTTTTCATTATCAGCAAGTCTCGTTAATAAGGTTAGGTTATGACAGTTTAATTATATTATAGAATGCACTCATTTCGTCCATATCACAATCATAGAAATATAAATCACAATAAGCCTCTGACAGGATCTGTGACAAACGACAAGTACTATCGCAGCGATAGTAGATGATGTCGTGATTCGATAGAGTAACAAACGATTAATGATAGTCACAAAATCACGTGGCGTTTTTAGACGATAAAAGTACGAAAAAGTACTCACCAAATTAATTAGTTGTAGTTTGCTTGTTTATAAATTGCATTTTGATCAAATTTATTTTTTCTTATTCAGCTAAGCTATTGCTTTGCTATTTGATAATGCTATTTAAATAACTTATGTAATAAATATAAGATATTTGAGGACTTGAGTTCAAGTGAAAATCCAATCAAAATAGATATTTGCTTAACGTGCAGGTTTTGCTGCGGCAGAGAAGTTACTTTTGGCACTTTAATGCCTTTGTGGCATAAATTATTATCATGTTTGTATTCAATATAAAATGCTATTAAAGGTTAATAAAATTACAACAATTTTACCTCTTGGGCAATTAACCAAAATAAAAACTGGGCAAGCACATTTGAGTTAGCTTATTTAAAGCTTCTTTCAGTTCATAAAGACCTGTTACTGGTTCATAAAGACCTGTTACTGATTAGGCCTACACAAAATCTATTTCGTAAAATAATTAACAATTGGTGTTTTCCAAGCTATCACAACATAAGATTTGAGAGACTACCGGCTCAATTAACACTGTTATAGGCATCCCAAGAACAAAACAACCTGCGCAGAAACAAAAAGATCACGTGGTTCGCGCTGGTAGGTGTGGCGTGCCCTTCAAACCTGCACGTCTCGAAATGGCCCAGGGATCTTTTGTTTCTGGGATGTCTATAGCCAAGCCAATTAACCATACCACGACAAACAGTTCCCAGATCCCAATGTCTAACCAATTAAATTTTTTTACGGTTTTTATTAACCCAAGTACTTGATGTAATGTGGTTATTAGGTGTTTTACTGTTTAATTCAATAAGGTAAAGCCTGGATAACTAAGCAAATTAAGGTATTCTATTATATGTTTTTTTATTACAGGTACAATGCCAAGAGGAGACACTGGAGACGTACCAAGCTCAAACTGTAAACACTTACATCCTGGAAACTGCAACGTTTATGTTCCATCTTTATCGACATGTTTTATTGTTTAACAAATAAACACTGCTAACTTCCATCTAATTAGTTAGTTTTTCATTTCCCTAATTAAATGGCCTTAGTTTATTCTGTGTAATCATGTGATTAGAAATTTGGAAGTTACGACATTCTCTTTGGGTGATTATCGATTTTCTCTTTAGTATACATTTTGTACTTGTTTGTTTTTATGACAAGTAGTATGATGAATGATGAATATTGTAATGTTGTTTTCGTAAACTTTTTAAAGTAGGCCTACTTTTTGAGTAAATTGATTTAGTTTAATACTTAAGTAATGCTTACTATTTAAAGCACACCAATAATTGTCTAAAATGCTGTCACAGCAAATAATTGTTAAAGGTTACCTTTTGGGAAAGTAACCTCTCTCAATTTTGTATTGCAACCCAATTTTATACTTATTTTGAACAAAGAAAAACAATGCACACTGAGGTGTCCAAGTTATGAGATTTGACTGTATATAGGTACACAGTGAATGTGTTATTTACAAGCACCTACCTTTGGGGGTTTAAAAGTATATACGGTACCTAAATAATGTGAAAATTGTCCAATATTTTTGCTCAATATTGGTTGATCAGTTGTGAAAAGAGATTGGTTTTTAATCTGGACTTGAACTGAATACAGAATTATATTAGGCTAATTGATTATAAAATGGTATTTCATTTCCAGCTTTCAATTTGTGGAAGGAATTTCAAAAATTGGATGTTGTAGCTAGGATGACCATATTTGTGAAAGGGAGGCCATATTTATTTGTGAATTTAGATAAGTATTTGCTGTTTTCTAACATAGACTAACCAAGACAATTCTGATGAATTAGACTTGTCATCCCAAAGTAAATTTTGAAGCTTATGTGACACTGATCGCTTGACAAAATTTTGTTTCTATCATTTTAGGGTCAATTTCTTGTGCTTTACTGTTTGGTTATACATAGGGAACGAGAGTTATTGTTTATGATTATTTTTTTTTATTTGGTTAAGCAATGTTATTACTGAAATAACAAGAAACAAATGATTGTTAACAAAACGCAGCCTCTACAAATGCAGTGCACAGGAGGGAACTAACAACCAAAATTGATTTAGATGAATGAAATTTTGTATTTATGGTTCTAAGTATAACATTGCTCTTACTCCCAGGGCTATCGCAGGACCGCAGGTGATATTTAGTCGCACCAACAAATCCTCTCCAATTCAACGTGTCCTATGTATCCTGTACTGTGGCTCCATCTCTGCATTATCTTACTTCACTTGGTCCCACCATCTGTTTCCACGAGGTCGACTTCATTTAACATTAAGGGGCTCAGACAGGCTATATTTGCAATGCTAGGAACACATATCTCAAAAACCATAAATCTTCATTGAACTTTTTATAATTGGTTGATCTCTATTAGGCCAGTAAAATTAGTTAAAAAATTAGCTGTTCCTGGAAATAATTCTCGGAAAGCTGGAAATTGTTTAATCCTTTTGTTTTATCTAGAAGTAAAAGGATTTGAAATTTTTCCCAGATGAGCTTCTGACCTGGGACCACAAAAACCTTGAAATTTAGGGTTATTTTCTAGTTTTGCTAAAACGTCAAAAAACCGTCCAGCCTACACAAAAACATACCATAAAGGAATTGTAGAGCATAAAATTCCACATCCATTGAGTATCTGGTGATGAAAATCGAACCAAAGCAATTTATAGTAATTTAAATAATGTCATTTTATTTTGAAATTATTGAACATTGCATAATTTATGTTATGAGATAGTGTTTATTTTCTTCATTTGAAAGAAAGTATTCTTATGTGAGGGACATTGTTTCATCAAACTTGACACTGGCTGCAATGTATTTACTTCTTCGGCGGAATCTTATGAGAAACTAATGAAGACTCAATAATTCACGCAGAAGGTAAAGCCTACTGATTATATAGTATATATAAATTACTATAAATCACTTTTATTCGTTAGATTTTCATCACCAGATACTCGATGGATGCGGAATTTTATGCTCTACAATTCCTTTACGGTGTGCTTTTGTGTACGCTGGACGGGTTTTTGTGGTCCCAGGTCAGAAGCTTACCTGAAAAAATGGGACAAACTTCAAATCCTTTTACTTCTAGATAAAACAAAAGGATTAAAACGATTTCCAGCTTTCCGGGTAAAACCTATTTTTACTGGCCTAAATGTATTCTACAACATAAGCAGAAAGTTTCAAGGAATTTGGGTGTTTTGAATTTTTACGGAATTATTCATTTATTGCAAAAATATTCCGGTCAAAAAACTAATTGAATTAACTTCAAATAATTTTTTTATCTATCGCAACAAAATTCTGTTAATCTTGTACTTCTGAAAAAGTGAAACAAAACAAAAAAATATGGAGATTGGAGATATATCTTTTAGTTTTTGAGATAATATTCGAGGGCCTAAGTCTAATACCACGTATGAGGAAAATGCCTACTTTACAGGAGAGCAAAAAATTGTTGTAATTATTATGGTTTTACGAAAAACAGCTCATTACTTTATAGGAATGTACATGTAGTTATTAAATTTGATAAAACCACTTCTTATGTTTATTTATTATTTACAAGAGTTATTATACAAAAAAAGTAAGATACGAGGTATTGTAATAAACTTTTTTTAAATTTGCCAGTTGGAGGGTTAACTTATGTGGTATTGAAATTGGGTATACGAGTTATTAGAATTTACCAATTTGTAAGATACGAGGTATTGCTAAATAAACACTAAGCATTTTTACTATAACAACTTTATTGTTATAATTACTATTTTATTGTATTACAGAAAAAATTAGAGTATAAAATTATTCCTTAGCAAAAAAGTTAATACAATAATTTTTATAACAAGTTATAACGTATTTTTACAGTAAGAATATTCCTCCTTCTAAGACCTCGTATCTTAACACTGGATTTATGACAACGTGTTACATAAATTGTAATAAAGCCACAAATAAACTAATTGCATTTATACAAAACTGAGTTAATTCTATCTTATATTTACTACGTTTTGAACACTGAAATTCACTTTTACCTACGACCGTTTTTTAAAGTAGCCATTTCAGTCCAGTTCTTAGAATTGAAAAGTTTCACTTTACAGCTGTTTACTTTCATATCCGCATAGTTTCATTTGATATCCGCATAGTTTTCTCATATCCACACAGGTAACGGACCAATGAGGTTCAAGTATTGAGAGAAAAGAATTAAAATTGTAATGCTTCGAACGTCAACTAATCAGCTGATCAGCTGAACAGTTGACCAATTTAATTGTTGATCCGACTTGTTCATGTTGATACTCGCGTATTCTTAATTAAGTTGGTGGAAGTCCAAAAATAAATGAAATATTTGCCGAATTGTACCTGATACAATATTATTTATGGTAAGAATGCTGCTAGCAATGTAATATTTAACGAAGTTTAACAAACACGTAATTACAGGAAATCAGCTGATTATACAACAAGTCGTTGCATCACTTTCAGTGGCAATGCCAATACACGAAAACATAACCTCTCTAAAAAGTTATCATTAGTGATTGTTAGTAATTAAATCCAGATTGATAGTAAATAAAAAACGGTCGTAGGTAAAGTAGTGTACGAAACTCGTTTTAATAGTCTTTACGACACTCGTAGAAGTTTTTAAGGCACTCGCCAAGGCTCGTGCCTTAAATTTTCTACTCGTGTCGTAAAGACTCACTTAACGCAATCGTTGCGTAAACTACTATTTCACAACGAAACTGCATAACAATAACAGACCGGCACAGCTTACCACCTTTTGCACACTGTAAACAATACAAGATACGTGTAGCTAGAAGGAAGGTTTGCCAATACTGCAACATACGAGGTCTACATTTCCCATTTTTTTTTAAATTATTTCCCATTTTTATAGACTTACGAGATTTTAGAATTAGGCGAGAGACAATGAAATCTTTTTTTTTACTATAAATCTCAAAACTCTATATTTGGAAGATATGTGGTATTAGACTTAGGCCCTCGAATGTGTTCCTAAAGTAAAAAATATTAGTTTTCACAAAACGCAACGAAAAAGCTGATTTAGGCCTACATTTATTGCAAAATTACTTCTAATATAGTGTCCATCAGCTGCAAAAGATAGGTTGTCTTGACTTCTTTTCCTTATTAAATAGTTCCTCAAAAATGAAATAAATTAGTAGTTTACGCAACGATTGCGTAAAGACTAACGCGAGTTGCGTACACTACTTTACCTACGACCGTTTTTTAATTACTATCAATCTGGATTTAATTACTAACAATCACTAATGATAACTTTTTAGAGAGGTTATGTTTTCGTGTATTGTCATTGCCACTGAAAGTGATGCAACGACTTGTTGTATAATCAGCTAATTTCCTGTAATTGTGTTTGTTAAACTTCGTTCGATATTACAACATTGCTAGCAGCATTCTTACCATAAATAATATTTTTCCTACAGTTACCTAACAATGTACATGTTCTCTCAATGATTTCAGAAAGCAAAGCGGCCAATTCGCTCATCAGTGAGACAATGTTCTAATTACTTTGTCTCACTCCAGATTTGCAACGTGAAGGCACGAAATAGTGAGCGCGTAACATGCAGGCAACGTCGTATGAGCGCGAAATACGTTGGCAGCACTGGCTGTAAATCAGCTGGTCAGCTGTTGTACTGTTGTATTTGTCACTTCACATTAAATTTTATATTAAAATTTCACTTCTGTGTGAAAATAGGTTATGTTTCTTCACCAATTTATTTGTTTTATGGTAACTGTAGGAAAATTATAATGTGCAACTCGAGTTCAAAGTACAATTGCCTCACTCAAGAAACCATTCCTCACTCGCCTACGGCTCGTGAGTAAGGATTTCTCTCGAGTGAGTCAATTGCTCACTTTTCTCACTAGTTGCACAAATAACTAGTATCAGGTACAATTCGGCAAATATTTCATTTATTTTTGGACTTCCACCAACTTAATTAAGAATACGCGAGTATCATCATGAACAAGTCGGATCAACAATTAAATTGGTCAACTGATCAGCTGATTAGTTGACGTTCAAAGCA